ATTTCCTACATATTTAGAAGCATCCTCTTTTTGCGATATTGTATTTTGAATATGTTTATCAATTTTAAGGAGTGAATGCAACGGCTCAACAACAGGTCTTAAAATTTTGTTTACTGATAAATTAGTCAGTTCTTCATCTTTTTTCATATTTTTAATTTTCTTTTTTATCGAACAGACTGATTCAATCAAACGTGATTTTATGTCTTTTTCCATTTCACTATATTTAAAATTAAACGACTACTGTTTACAAATAAAAAAATGATACTAATCATGTTAAATTCAAGAAACATATTTATAGCTATTTAAAATTGAAAAAGACATCAAATCCTTTTCTGTATCTTCCTTTGTCTACAGCACAATCCTTATTAATGATTACAAAACTAAACGGTTCTTTCCATACTTTTGAACAAAGATTTTTGAATTCAATCCAAGTTAAATCAGTATTTACGTGTTCGTCATATATGTGTTTTAGATTTATATCGTCTTGCTTGAATATTATCAAAAAGTTAGTGTTATCTCGCACTAGCTGTTTTGGAATCTTTGAATATGTTTGAGACAAATAAAAGCAGTCTACTTGTTTATGTCTCCCCATTGCAAAAAAATTACGAATATTACTTTGGTTATCACAAACTACATCATCAAAAATCATAATAGAATTATTCAAAACATCATTAGGATCTATAACTTCCTTTTCATTATTAAAAATAAAAAACTTTATTTCAGGAATCATTTTCATAACTTCATTTAAAAATTGATACTTCGGTTGAAATGCCGTTTTAGAATATAAGTACAAATTTTTAAATTTCAAACCATTTTCATGAAGCAGTAAGCTTAACATCACATTAGTTTTACCACAGTTAGACGGTCCGCATATTAAGCAGCGTATTGAATTAGGTAGTAGTATGCTATGTTTAACGAAATCCTTGTTTTCTAAAATCTGTACATTGTATATTTCTATTGAAAGTGGTTGCTTTATTAGCTTCATGGTATTGACTGATTACTTTTAAATAAAAATAGTCTTTTATATTTTATGATGTAATAAAAAGTAATTCATCTTTAAATTTCACTAATAATAATTTTAAATTTAAATTCATCAAAGCTTTTACGCATCAGCTGGGTATAATAAAAATAAAACAATATTCATATAGAATTTTATAATCTTTATTAATTTTCTACATTAACTTCTCAAACTCCTGTTTACATATAGTTCAAATAATATGTACCAATTATAATTTAACTATTTTACTTATTATTGTAAATAAGTGACATAATCAGTATAATATGTTATCCCAATGCCCCCAAGGTAAAGTTTGTATATTGTCTGTTAAAATCTGTCTTTTGTCATCACTTCGATCAAGTACAGTTTTATAAACTTCTTGAGTATACAAAACATGTTTAAGTGACCGAATAACATTCATTTTTTGCTTGTAGCGTTTATCAGTCATCAAAGCTTTCTTGAATTTAGTCGTAGTAATTTTCTTTGTAATAGGTCTAGAAATACCTTTTGCTTTTTTTATTTGAGTATTAATACTGTTTATACAATACAATTTTGCTCTCAAACCAATGAATTCAGTTAGCACGTCACCACCTAATTCGTCTTTAAATAATCCAGGAATTTTGTTATTCATTTTAGAAATGCCATATATATTATTATTTGGAAAGTTACTTGTATCAAAATTTAAAGAATTTTCTTTTATGTCCGCATATATATCGTCTGTTTCTATCAAATAAAGTAAGCTATCAGTATCTGTATAGCAAAGTTTCGCACAGTCGTGATACTTCTCTTTAATATAGTCATAATGAAATTGGTATAAATGTTGCTTGGCGTATTCCAAAACAGTAAATCCAATGTAAATGGGTCTATCTAACAGAACTTTTTCATATTCCAATTGAATCGCAACAAAGTTTTCATCGAAGATTGATATGCTTTTAAAATTAGGTTTTGTCAATAATTTTGCGGCACCAATGCGTTTGTTAGATACGTTATTATTATCTTCCCAACGTGATACTAATCTTACATCGACTTGTTTTCTTCTGTTTTCAATTGTTTTCCCAAAAATTGAATTATTTAGTAATTTAAACAAATCTTTCTGAAAATTTGATTTAGATGCTTGACGTAGGCGAGTATTTAAATCAATGTAATTCTTTAAAAAAGGTTCTTGACGAAAACTTAGTACCCGATATATTTTTTTTAAGATCAAACCATGTTTTAAACATAATTTCAAATGAACGTAGTGAATAACGTATTTATTTTTATTATAAAGATTAGCAATTAATTTATATGTTTTACCACCTGGAGGTATTATTTTTTCTGGTGCAAATGGCAAATCACTATGAGCATTATGGAGGTGGTCTGGATAATCTAAGTCAACCTCTAAAATATAGCCATATTCCGACTCATCTGTTATATTTAATACATTAAAATTCGTTTTCTCATCTTCAGATAGTAAACGGAACTCAGAAATAGGCAGCTTTTTCATCATAGCAAATCCATATAAATTATTGGCATCAAGATAAATTAGGTATTTAGAAATTTCTGAGTTATCACAATTCGGTAGATACTTGTTATTAGCTTTAGCATATCGATGAGAACATTGCGATAACCCTCCACGAATACCTCTTTCTATTAACTGATATATTTCTAAATCACTTATTAAATCCAATCGAACGCCTGTATGCAGTAACATAGCATCCCAACTTAAGCTAGGAGATGATACATAATGCGCGGGATCTAATTTGTAATATTCCAAGCATGTATTTCTAAAGTTTTCAAAAATGTCACATAATAATAGGACATCTGTTTTTAAATATAAATCTGTGTATTCACCAATTGTGTTTATATTAAAATTATCCCATACTTTTTGTGCTCGTGCATATTCGTCATAAGTTATATGTTTCATGGTTAAATTATTATAAAAACATTCTTTTGGTGGCAAAGATTTTTCTTCATATTTACACCAAGAATCTACGTAATCATAAGGAAATATACCTTTCTCTTTTAACAAGTTAAAGTCAATATGATTTCTGAATTCTTCTGAGAGATGAATGTGTTCATTTTCAGATAAATTTTTACTTAATTCATTCAAACTAGAACTTAAAAACTGAAAGGAATCTATAAATTTAATTTGAACGTTGCGAGAAGTGTGCTCGTTATAAATTATTTTACTTATTGTTAAATACTTTTCTTTTGTTTTAGGTATAACTTTTATGTCTCCCACATGGTGTGCTAATTCTTTGATAAAAAGATGGCTGTCATAACCACATAAATTATGAAATACGACTGGTATAAAAGAATATTCTCTTAACATGAGATTGCAGTGAGAATGTGCTGGACCCCGATATTCAGAAGTAATATGATCGTGGTCAGCAACTTTATCTCCCAGCAAAGGTTCATTACAGATGTGACAAGTTGTAGCATTTAAATAAGCATTTCTTTGTTTATCGGTTAGTGGATTCATTGGTTTATTAACAGATAATAGCTTATCAATATCTTTAACATCTTCAATTAAACGTTCTATAAAGATTTTAACACAATCCGGACCTCTATATGATACATATTTATTTAACTTAGAATCATGAGAGCAACAAATATAGTAACCAAAACAAGATGGCTCGTGTAACTGTAAATTAACCGTATTACATGTTTGTTCATTTTTATTACATTTCAACAATAAACTTTCAAAATCTGCATATATTATAAAATTTATTTTTATTTTTCGCTCATATCTTTTAAACTGTAATATGCTATTTTCTTTCGGCAATATGGTTAATACTTTAGAACATTGGTGTGACATAAATTTCTTTTTCGACGAGAAATGTTGAAGACATGAATCACAGAAATGTAATTTGCCATTATGTTTTGAAATCTGTGGTCGCACAAGACGTGACAAATCTGTTATTAAGCAATAGTGACCCTTATTATATTTCTCAATGTATAATATATTGACATGGTGTACTTTTCTTGAATTACATATATAAAGCGGGCCAGTTACTTGGTTACAATTATCGAGACCATAAATGTTGAAACTTATATTAGAATTTTGCTTTTCAAAAGTTTTGAGATCATGTGTAGTAGGTGGAAAAGACATACCATCTATTTGAACACATTACTATAATGAGGATAAGATCTAGTTCTACATACGTATTATTTTTGCTGGATATAATGCTGCAATTATACTCCATAAAAAACAGTGATCGTCTTCATTTTTAATATTAATACAACTCTTAGTATTTTTAATAGTCGCAGGGAGTTCTATATAACTACTTCCCTTCATAGGCGAGTATTTATTCACGTTTATTTCTAAATGACTAATTGTTCCAAAAGTCCAACCAGACTTGCAATGTTCGAATTCAGCCATTTTCATTTTCATAGAGTCTATTACTAAAGAAAACATTTCTTTCAGATCAGTATTTCGACATAGAATTTGAAATTTTGAATTAAATGACTTGAGTTGTTGTTGATCAGAACTTGGTAAATAAAATAGAGCAAAGAGTTCAAAATTAACTTTCACACATGTATGTTCAGTAATTGAGAGCTCAATGATCTTTAATATATCTTTTTCATTATCTTTAAGAAATGACTCGGGAGTAAAGTACTTTTCTATATTCTCAGGCTGTAATCTATATGTTATAATTCGATTTTTAAATGCAGAAGCAATGACTTTTATATTATCAAATTTTGTATTCAACAAGCAATTTGCCTTATGTATATTACTTCTCAAATGGTAATTATATTTATTTCTTAATGTATATAAATTACAGTATTTACAAAACTTAATGTCTTTGTCTTTTTCTTTATTACTGGTGTCGACAACTGTGAACAAGAAATAAAATACGAATATATAGAAAATACGAAACTTGAAATATTCATTTATTATAAAATAGTAAGTTTTAAAACGTAAATGAGTATAATATGACAAGATTAGTAGGATAGGTAAATGTACTTTATTAATATTAATACATTATATTAATAAAGTAAAACGTTAAATATATATTATTTACAATAAATGTGAATTTATGAAATTTGGCGAACATTCCTTGAACTCCTTTCGGACTTCGCTTAAATATGCTGATAAATGTCGCCAGGACTCGGTATCAACATTTGTTCTATTTTTAAGAGCAACTATTGCATAACGCCATCTATTCATCGGAGATACGCGCTCGATTTCTTCGCATTTATATATTTTTATTTCGACAAAATGACTGCCAGGCTTATCAAACTTTATTTGTCGTGAAAAGCCGTTTGTTACCCGTTTTGTTAAATAAGATACTAAAGGAGATGTATTTTTACATGTTACATCGTTGATTTCACCATCATCGGAGTCTACGCCGAAAAGATCTTGAGCGGTGACTTTGGCTGATCTTGATTTCTTTCCGCTGGACCGAACACGTACTATAGCGTCCCCCGCTAGTTGAAGGCTCGTTTCCATGAGAGTTATGCCCTCGCTTGTTTTTCCTCACAGCTTTCTTCTCTTTCCCCTTCGGCTCGGTCCTCTCTTCAGAGGAAGACTCTTCTGATAGAAAAATGTTTTCATGGTTGCTTGACCTGAAATTAGAAATAATTATAACTTTAACAAAAACTGTATGTATCATAAAAAAAGCTGTATTAACTTTAAGTTTGCATCGAATACTAAGTTTTAAATATCTAAAAAAATAATAATATATCTTCTACGATGTCTCGGGATTCGAATCTGAAACCTTTAAATAACTTCTTCTTTCTGAGTTCGTTTTGCGAATAGACGATTTGTTTACACGCTCTAATCATTAAACTAGACATCTGTTAAGAACTAATGTGAATATTTTCGATAGAAATGGTGAACATTATTTATGCAATGTAGGAAGGCTGAACTGATTTTGATCTAACATTCACAAAAGATACAAAAAAAAAACACAGAAGCTGCCAACTGCTGTTCTTAATATTTTTAAATAAGGTACCTCCAAGTTATTATAATTCAATAATGTAAATTAAAAATTATTGTAATTCTAGTATCATTCAATCCTCAGAGAAAAATCAGACAATTTCATCAAAGTTGAAAAAGAACGTCTGGTTGGATGAATTTATCGAAACTGTTTAAATCATTCTAATATTATAAATGCGAAAGTGTGTTTGTTGATTTGTTGGTTTGTCCTTCAATCACGCCGCAACAGAGCTACAGATCGACGTGATTTTTTGATTGGGTATAGTTGAGGATCTGGAGAGTGACAGAGGCTACTTTTATCCCGGAAAATCAAAGAGTTCACGAGGGATTTTAAAAACTAAATCCCCCCGAGGACTAAGTCGCAAGCATCAGTTAGTAATTAAATAAAAATTACTATTCTATTTTCTTGTATCCGAAGAATTTTATATGACTATGTTAAATTGATACAGTGAAATGGAAAATAAAATCTAAGATATAAAAGAAGTACTTACATGTTGGATGAAATTCACGAAAATTTTACTTAATTCACGAAAAACACTGATGAACACTTCAACTTGGTTAGGTACCTACTTGTAAAAAAAAAAAAACAATTGGAGCTGAGGAATTCTGTCACCTTTGAAAGTAGGACTTGAAAATGACGGCTTGATGGGCACCAGCCTATAAATAGTTTCAAAAACTTAAAATGTGTGTGTAGACAGTTAAACACAAATTGTTCGTATGTAAGCTGACTGTCAATATGTGTGCAGATTAATCTAAAAATGCGGAGATAGCACAAATTATTTTAAAAATGAACTTTACATATTCCCCTAGTTCTACCATATTTATTCTAAAATATGACTTGATAATCTATGTGCGTACAACTTGACAAAACATGGCTAGAGAGTTATTATGATAGTTTCAGTAAACATCGATAGGATCAATTTGCACCCGACGACGCCGCTCTGTCGGGTGTCCTTTTATGGTAAGGAATGTTCAATTTCATCACGTTACATCTTACAGGTTAAAACATGTTGGAAACTGAACTTGGAGGACTAAGCATTTTATCCATACTAATATTGAGCCCTGGCGTCACACGAATAGCATAATGGAACCATAGATACGTCTTCAAATGAAAATCATTTAGTTTCTCGATTATGAGATTATAGCTCATACACAGACAAACTTGGTCTAAGAACTTTGTTTTATATTTACTTACTGATGATTTACAAAGAAAATTCAAGTTATTCTCAATCAGATCCTCATTAAGAGCGGTCCTATGTGAATTTGTGTAATAAAAGTATCTTTGACTGTGCGTGCACTAAACCTACTTAATTCACAAAAACCTTTCTTCGGTCTACAGCATTTTAGATTTTTTTGGGGAAATGGAAGTAAGTTAATATTATAAGTCTTATATATATTTACTAGTATATAGGTATATTAAAGTCTCATTAATAGAACATTTAAAAACTGTGAAAGCGGAATTTTAAGTCATTTAATATTATGAATAAAATGTTCTATACCAAATACTTTAAAATACACTAATAATAAGTAAATAACTTTCAATAATAATTTTTATTTCAGGACTCTGGAGACTTATTTAGATTTATACCAAATAACCCAGAAGAAAAGAGCAGTAAAAGATCAGCGGATGCTAATACACTATATTCATATATGAAAATACCATCAAAAGGTACCAAAATTATTCGTATTCAAATATATGATGTGGAACAATTGCAAAATAATGAGGATAAAGTATGCAAGTGTAATGCAAATCTATGTATACAGCACGTAGTACAAAACTTGTTCCGGGATGATATTTATAGAGATGTTACTAAAATTATCACTCAAATGAAAGAACAACTAAGTGATTAACGTAAAACTATAAGTTGTATTCTTTACTTTATTAAATAACTATTTTTATAACATTTCAGTAAGTAAGTATTATTTGTATTCGGTTTGGCAGTATTTTAATAAAATAAAAATCTTTATTAAGTCACATGTCGTTTTTATTTTAAATACACTAATAACTTGATAATATTATAGGAACCAACCGAAATTGATTTATGTGTTACATACAAAGTTTTATTTATGTAAACCAGAAATCAATTTTCGAATCGAGCAGTTTTATCCACGCAGTATTGTTAAAATACCAATATGAATATACCTATTACATAACTGCATAGAGAGTGACGCTGTGTTTACATTTGGGTAAAACCATTTTTTTTTTTAAACTGTAAATGACATTCCTTTACCAGTCTATATAAGTAGTTAATATAATAATATAAATGAAATTCTTTGTATGTTGATAAACAGACACAAAAGAAAAAGTAAAAATACAAAAAAACTTTTATAACTTTTTGAAATAATATGTTGAAAACTGATTTTACAAGTTTTGAGAAGTAAAATATGAAAAGTAGACTTTTATAAGTTTTTAAAAACTATGAAAACTGGACTTTTCTAAGTTTTTGAAGACGTGAATTGAGAGAGATGGATCTTCTTTGATCCAGCTCGCTCAATTCACCACTACTTGCATGAACCGTAGGTGTTATGGGCGACAGGTACCGCCTTCCATCAGGTGGGCTGTCTGTTTGTTTGTCACTGAATAGCATAAAAAAATGTACATAGGTCGTACATACGTAGTTCCTAGATGTACATTCATATGTACACGCACGCATACGCATTAAACATATCATATACACAATATGTACATATAATTTAAAGATCTATGTATGTAGTTAAGTAATTCTCATATTTATTCATAGATCAGTTATTTCAGACATAACGCAAATGCCTTATATAAATTTTTAAATAAACCGTTCAATTCTATTAAAATTATTTTCGCTTCGTACTCAAATATTGCTGTTCTCGCGAGATTATTGTGAAAATATGAATAAATACCAATAGCAATTTTCAAAACGCTTCCTTTACTTATTACAAAGGAATTCCCAAGATAAAACGCTAATAATAAAACTCCTGGAGATTAGTTACATATTAGAATACAATGATATGTATATATTGATATAAGAGATCTATTTCGAAATGATTTGAATGTAACGGTAAATATATTCATCGAATGTATAGAAAAAATGTGTCAAAATTTTCATTTCAATTTTATTTTAATGAGGCCGGCCTTTTCTTATGATATAACTAGCGACTCACTCTCGCTCCGCTCGGGTTCGTCCCTAGGAACGTTTAAACAGTTAGTATAGATTTCTCAGAGATGATATATTTTCCCTCAGTAAAAAGTATAATTATATTGCACATCGTATACTTACCTATATATTGACGCGGATACCCAGCTACCATCACACCCATCAAAATCTGTCCAGTGGTTTTCTCGTGATGCGTTCCCAGACAGACAGACAAAAAATCTAAAAACTATAAATTCGGCCTCTATATCGATAATAATTATTATTTCAATAAGATTTTTCAAGAAATATTTAATATACAGATTTTATTATATTTATAGATAACTGAAAAGCTTCAACACGACCATTCATCAATACTTCAATACGACGAGTCTTAGTCCACCACGCTTATCAAATTAGGATTGGTGGGTTTCACACATCTTTCGACTTAGATAAGTTCTATCAGTGGTGCAATTTTCCTTTACCGATTTAGTAGCTTTAAATACTTACATATATAATAATACGAGTCGCTTTATCTTTTAAATTGACTTATACTTTAGGTTAGAACCTTCTTGGACTCGAGTACAAACTCTTTATAAAGATTCATCACAATTAAATAAGGCTTATATGAACACCAAGGCTACAAATAAATAGAAAAACATTCATTTATGAGTAGTAGGTACCTGGGCGACCAAGCTTCGCTCGGAGTTTTTGACCAAAAGTACACTTTTCTTTTTAATTTGGCTTAAAAATAAAAAAAAATAAAAAACTTAAAAAAAAAAAAAAAAAAGTAAAAACTTTGTATCCGACCGGAATTCGGACCTGTGATTGTCAATCTTGCGCCTTGGCCGCTTGACCACGATGCTTATGACCGAGCGTATGAAATTAGCGACCATATTTTGCGTGGAATAATGCGAAAGAAAACACGCGTTTTCCCAGACATAAGACTAATCTAAATCGATTTTTCACCTCCGACAACCCCCACATACCAAATTTCAGCGAAATCGTTAGAGCCGTTTCCGAGATCGCCGGAATAAATAAAGAAAACTTTATCAAAATCTATCCAGCCTTTTCAATGTGAAAGCGTAACAAACATACACACTCATATATGTACATGCAAACTTTAACATATATAAAATATGTATTATACTCAAACTTACAATTTTTTTAATTAAGGCCTCTTACGTAAAATTTAAATATATCCTACTCAAGTTACGTCCCACATCGAAATTCCTTGTTCAGATATTAATTAATCTCAAAAACAATCTAAAATTCATTCTGCTAACCTTCGCAAAGAATATATAAAATTTTGCGTAATATTTCTAATAGCTATTTAAAAAATTAATATTTTTTTTATCTTACTTCCTTAAAAGACCGTGAACGAAGTCCCTAATGATATTCTGA